TTTTCTGAATAAGGGGCTGGCAGAACCCTTTGATATTTGGAATGCAGGTCCCAGTCAAGTAGTACATTTCATTCGAAATGTAATACCTGGCTGCGAAAATGCTTTTGGTCAGTCTATGCCGGTCGCTTCTCAAAATAGTGATACGACATACTGATAAAGTAATATAAAAACGGGGAATATATAACAATAGAAGTAATTGTCGCAGTGATGAATAAACCCAACACGGAAAAAAAGTTATATTGATCGATTCTCTTCGTCGATTTTCATTCTCGTTAATAGCTTGAGCACATAACCGTTTCTTGTTGTGTTTGTCGTATTAGATGCTAGATAAAAGCTTGTTTTACCGACCTGACTGTGTGCTGAAGATACCTGGGAATGTCTTTACATGGCCGTGGGGATACCAAGTTAAAGTCGACGAAAAGAATCTGCCAATGTTACTTAGGACCTAATGCAATGAACCGAAGTTTACATGATTTCGTTTAAAGTGTGTTGAAACATGTTTTATGTAGCTTATATCAACCTTATTCTATAAATCTTAGATTTTTTTTAGATTTTTTTCTACGTCAAAAATTATGAAGTATTTTTTTAATGTTCCTGGATGTTTCTAATTTGTCTTAGTCCAAAGTCTTGAAAATATCTTAACTCCTAGAATCCTAAATAAAAAACTAGGCCTAGAATATCTCTATATGCAAGGTCTTACAAAAATATCTAAGTCTGAAGTCTTGAGAATTTCTCTTATACTGGCATATCGAAAAATGTCCCAGAATCTTAAAAATTCTCAACCTCCATAATCTTGTAAAAATTTTAGTTCGTTCAGCATCTCGAATATTTTTCCAAGTCTCAGAATATTGAAAGTTTCTCCCAGATCGTAAATTTAAATCTTTTTCTTTGTTCAGGATCTCGAAAATAAATTCTGGCTCTGAGAAAGCGATTTTTTTTTAATCTCAGTATCTTCCAAGTGGAGGCGAACCAGCCCAAGGCTGAAAGCCTCCCTAATAAAGATAAATAATAATAATCTTCCATGTCTCAGTATCTTGAAAGATTTTTTTTTTATTTTTATTTTTATTTATTTGTCGTCAATCAGTGTAGACCGTTTTACAATAGTGCTGTTGCCTTACATGCTATTTTAAAACATACGTTTTATTTGAAATTGTCAGCAAATGTAGACTGCATATACAAATATCTAAAAAAATAAAAATTGTTTTAAACTTAACGAGATGAAATCCTAGCAGTTAGTGTTCTCCTTACTGTATCTTTAGACATCGTTAGATCTATATGCTCACAATAATTATTATACACTCTCATCATTCTATTAATTGGTCCATTTTTACCATAATTCGTTCTGTGAGGTGACAGTTGAAATACATTTCGAGTTCTTAACATGCGTGATGGTACGTAAAAATTTAATCTTGCTAATATTTTTTCTGAATTTACGCGTTGTGAGATAATATCATTGACAAAGGAAATCATGGAAATTTCTCTTCGTTTCTTAAGTGTTTCAATGTTTATCAACATGCAACGGGACTCATAAGAAGGAAGGGGAAAAGAGGTCCAGCCTAGTTTCCTAAGAGCAAATAACAAAAACTGTTTTTGAACTGATTCCATACGATTTATATAAGTTTCATGGTATGGAGCCCAAACCACACTGCAGTATTCGAGAATTGATCTCACGTAAGCTATATAAAGTGTTTTGATGGTATATGGGTCTTTAAAATGATAACTAAATCTTTTTATGAATCCCAACATATTATTTGCTTTGTGAATTGTGGTATTCACATGATCTACAAATGTCAACTTCGAGTCAAGAATTACTCCTAAGTCCCTAATTTTATCGCACCTTACAACCAGCTGGTTTCCTAGAGTACATGTAAAATCTAGAGTAGTGTTTTTTCTGGAATATGATATAATATTGCATTTTTTAACATTAATATCCAGCAGACTTTTAACGCACCAGTTGTAGAAAACATCAATTTCATTTTTAAAATGTAGCAAATCAGAATTGTCAAAGATTTCCATGTACAGTTTCATATCGTCAGCATATATGAGCACATTTAAACGATTTAACACAAACTTCACGTCATCCACAAATAAAATAAATAATAAAGGACCTAAATGAGATCCCTGTGGAACTCCCGAGGTAACATTAACTGGCGAAGATATTTTTCCTTTAAAGCGGACCATCTGTGTTCTTTCTGTCAAGTATGATCCAATCCATTTTAAAAGTGTACTTGTCATACCTAAACGTTTTAATTTAAAAAGAAGTAAGGGAATGTCTACTCTGTCAAAGGCCTTACTAAAGTCAGTGTATAAGGTTTCAACGGTATTACCTCTATCCATTGCTTCAATAGAAAAGTTTACAAATTCCAACAGATTAGTAGACGTTGACCGACCTTTAAAAAAACCATGTTGATTATTTGAAATGCGATGCTTAACCTGGTAAAATATTTTCTGGTTAACAATTGCTTCAAACATTTTAGGAATGCATGACATAATTGCAATACCTCTATAGTTTTTAATATCTGACCGTTTGCCAGATTTAAATATTGGAACTAAAAATGATTTCTTCCAAATTTTTGGAAAATCACCTGTTTTGAGAGATAAATTGTAAAGCCAAAACAATGGTTTAACAAAACTTGTTGCTATTTTTTTCAATAAAAATGGAGGTATTTCATCAGGACCAGGTCCTTTGCCAGCATCGAGACTTTCAAAAGTCATAAAAATTTCTTTAACAGTGATATTTTTAACTGATACGTCATTTTCCCCTTCATGTAGGTAAGAAAAATAGTTCAAATCGAGAGCATTACTGGATTTCTTATATGTGTTTTGGAAAAAACGAGCAAATAGGTTACAAATATCCTCACTATCAGTGCTATCACACTCTTCAAACTGCATGCGTGATGGGAATGTACATGACTTCATTTTTTCGTTCGCGAAGTTAAAGAACGTTTTGGGATCTGATTTTATATTGTTCTCTACTCTTGAATTGTAATTCTCATATGCTGACGATATTTCTGCCTCAAGTGCTCCGCAAATTTCAACGTATTTTTCTATATACAAGTCACTGATTCTTGAAGATTTTCCTTTAGTGTGTACAGTACTTTAGCTCAGTCGGTAAAGGCACAGCTGCAAAGCAAGACCCTGCTGGCGGTGGCTGAGATCGACCGATCTGGTTTAAGAATTTTTCGGGATGGAAAATTTCTCGACTTCCCTTCGGTCACGGTAGTCGACACTTTTTCTGTGATAATCGACTGCCTTTGCCTCCGACACTTGCAAAGCAAGCTATCATAGTACAGAACCAAACTAAAATATCATATGACAGGCTGTGTCATACGACACTGTCGTCAAAGACCGTCAAGAATGTATGCATTTTAGTTTTTCTCATAATAAGAGCTGTTGTGCTTGTGTGAATTCTGAAATCAGCAAGCAATGATGTCCTAGTAATAACATTTCTGATCAGAAATGGTTTAATTAACTCCAAATTCAGAAATTAGAACGAAATCACACATGTCATATGATGGAAATGGATGTAATGTCGGCCTAAATGCCCCGTAATTTGGGCCTATACATAAAGTCAGCAATCGGCTAAATTTTCAATAGCGACCAAAAATAGCCATTAGTACCGTCCCAATGACGCGTTCATCTAGATAAAATTGATTAATAGCAAATTATTAGCGATTAGAGCCATTTCCCCTATTTGATAATTTTATTTTTGCTCGAATGTTATTCTACCGTTTGTGTTGTGTGCGAGAGACGAGCATGAGTGTACGATCACAAACAGACTGTCGCGCACGACAACGAAACGAGTGTAGTTAAACAAAGTCAACCATTTTAACCCCTGCTTGCCATACAATTATACTAATACAAAAATGGAACAGGCATCGAAAGCTCTTAACTAACAACTGTGGAAGTTCATCTAAATAGAACACTAAGTTGAGAGCACGCAATAAGCTAATAGCATCAACTCTACCTTTATGGACATATGGATCATTGGAACTGTCATACTTTTCAAATACCATTGTGAAAAAAAATAGTGTGATCCTCTGCCTAAATTTTACCTGATTAATGTTTCCTTATTCAGATCAGGAAATTGAACAAATTAATGTCACGTTTCCCGATTCGCGGGAAAACTAATCCGATTTCCTTTTTGTTTACAGATTACCATTCCCGATGAATTGGCTATTTTTATTATTATAGTCACTTTAACACTCTACGCCAGGGTCGTTCTCAAGAAATTTACTTTTCCTTTAGAAATTTGGCGCTGCCGTATAGTCAATAGTAATTTAATGAAAACACCTACATGTTTTCTTTTTCCATCGTTTCGGTCCTTATTGGATCTTTTTTAATGATTTTAAATAGTTGATGTGTTCTTGCTAATTTTTGTATGATGCCACGCCAAAGCCACGAATGACCCAAGCGTGTTAGAGTGACTATAATTAAATAAGAAAGGTTTATTGCGTGTCAATAGTGGCATTTTCTACGAAGATTGGGTGTGAGAACTAGTCACAACTTTTTCTTATGAATTTGATAACGACCATACTTTTCAAATGACGGCATAGTATAGAAACGTTGGAAGAACGAATCAAATACAAAATTCACTAGGAAGACTGCAGAGCTAAACCGATAGAACACATCGAATCTCCTTGCCCTCTCCTGACATCACCAATGGTGCAGGTAGCGTATTCGAACCAGTAGCGTATAATTATTTAAAAAGCATGCCAGCCTAATGAAAGCTGAAAAGTGGATTCTAATCCTTTCAATAGGAATACATTCACAATGTATTGCTGCCAATCAATGACCCAACAACCCAGCTAGCGATATCTACCTTTCACTATGTAGAACACACCTAGAGTCGATATTGATCAAATTATTGATTACTAATAACCCTTCACTCGATTCGGAAGCTGCAAAAGATTTGATTGATGGCGATCGAAATCATCCACATTCAAGCGCGCAGCACCCCCGTTACGGATAAACCTGTAAAATCAATCAAAATGTGTTACCTCTCATCGCAGCTACAGTGCATCAGTGTGTTAACCCGCCAGTTGAACACACCGTACTTGGTTTCGAATCCCAGGATCCAAAACGGGCACGACAGGTCGTGCTGACGGCAGCAGCGATCCGCCTTCGATAGTCCGCCCATTTCGACGTAGTTCCGCGCACTCCAACCTTTACCGCACCACTTGGTGCCCGGTATTCGGAGCATGTTGGATAAATCCCGACGCTGCCTGCTCGAATGTCCCATGTCAGGTCGGTAGGCACAGAAGGAAAGGCAATTTTGTGATGATGGTTTTTCTACGTTTGTGCATTTGGTTAGGATTAGGAAGCGAAGGATTTACAACACACTACCAGGAAGGACAACGACAACAACAGGTAAAATGAACGAAACAACAAGCCGTGTTCTACCAAAAACAAAAGCAATATGCCTCTTTCGGCTTTTTTTTTTCAACCAGACGTTAACATAAATCTTTTCGTTTCCGATTTAGAATTCAATGCCATCACTTTCTCTCTAGCGCTCGCAGCACACTCTAACACGTTGCCTTACCTTATTCTAAACTCGATACTGTTTCAATATCCTTGACTAATTGGCTAACGGAAACTGTTTGGGTATTAGCTGAACATTGCATTAGGTCCTATGTAACATTGATCGATTCTCTTCACCAACTTTCTCTTTTGTTAATAACTTGGTACAGAACCGTTTCTTGTCGTGTTTGTTATATCTTTGTGCTGAAAATAGCTGGGAATGCCTTAACATGGCCGTCGAGAAAGTCGACGAAGAGAATTTGTCAATGTTACTTAGGACCTAATGTATTGTTCAGCTTGATATGTTATATGCGTAGCTTTGGTTCTTTCGATTTTCCGTGTGATTATGCTATTAACCCTATCTCGAAGATGAAACTAACCTTTGATCACAGCTACAGTGGCTTATCGTATAGGGACGGTAATTAAACACGTCCCACTTGGTAGTCATACCCGGAATATTCAATTTACAGTAGTCATGCTGCCGACAGCACATGTCCGCCCGGGACGCGCCTCCTAGCTGATGGTAACGTTCGGCAGAGTGACCCTTACCACACCACTTGGTGTTTGGAGAGAGGAACCAATCGGCGATAGCACGCTTATGCCTTATCGTGGTCAATAAAAAGAAGAGAAAATAAGAGGAGAAACGAAAAATAAATGATAACGGCAATCGAACTCAACGAGGGAAATTAATTACAAAACAAATAGCCAATAGGGAAGGAAAAATCATACGCAATCAATCAGATAAATACCTCAAAGGGGGAAAATGCTGGGTCAGTAGTGAAAGAATGTGCATCCCATAGTGGCTTAGCTCTAGCTAATGAATGATGTGCTATTAAAGTCAACATGTGTGTGACAAGGATTATCTCAAAACCCGCTACTTTTCCAATCTCAAACGCTAACCGTAATGTACTGAATATCAGACAGTCTTTTAATCTGACAATATAATAATTATGTTTAATAAACATGGACGACACTATAGGATCATCATGAAATTTACGTGGTATTTGAATCAATTGAAAACTTAATAATCAACTTTTAAAAGTGACCGGATTCATGTGGACTAAGTGTCCGGATTCGGGTACATTACGATACCTCACCACAAAAAAAAAACGCAAGACATACCCGCGCAAAAACTAATAAACCATGCAACCAATCCTACATGTCACGCGACATTCCTCTGCAACATCACGCTTGTGTCGCGTTTCTGCGCATGACACACGCGAAATGAAAAGATACATATTTACAATCTTCCGATTCGTTGCCTCCATGTATAGAACACATGGAGCCACCCAACTTCTCTCTGTGCTGTCCCTTCCAAGAGAGGTTAAAGTTCAACTCAGATGACCACGCTCAGTGACTGCAAGGGGATAGTAAGCGAGGAACCCGATTCTGCCGTTGTTCACTCACGTGTTGTTCGGAGATTCGGTGCTCGAACAAGTTAGGTTACAGGAGGTGCCAAAGAGTGTGCGGCGTGCGTGCATGTTTGGAAATGATATGGTAATGTACGAAGATGACTGGTGCAATGTGGGTAATGCATCGACAAATCTCACTAGCTTAGTTTATGACACAACACGGAATGTTAGATTTAGGATAGGACACGCAAGCATGTTAGTAAGTCACACAAGTGCAGTAATAAATGTAAATAGTACCTTTGCAGGGTTTCGCCGGCATTCTGTTGCTCTTGTGGATCACTGCTTTGCAGTCCATGTGCTAGGTCTTTCATCTGATTGTGTCGTTGATCGCACTTGTGTTTCAATTGTCGGTAATTCATCAGCTTCTGCAGATCCTTGGGTACTTCAGCTTCACTCCCAATCTGGATGTACGTTAGATTTCGTAATCCAAATGCATCGCCATCAGCAGCGAAAGACTGTCCATCGGCGAATTCCTGGACGTTGTACTGCAGGTCTTCCATTTCGGAGGTAACGATGCCGTTATCGATGAACTCGCGAAAGTCATGATCCGAAACTAACGAGTGCCGGTTCTTCGACACCATCAGCGGCGAGGTGAAGTTACGGGCACGTGCCTGTTCGATTTCACCGTAGAAACGATCGAGGAAGCTCGCGACCAACTTTTTCTGCCGAATATACTCGCAATCCATCAGCTGACCGTCACTGGTATAGATCATCTGGATGAAACTTTTGCCGTCCGACATCTGCCATAGGCTGAGTGATTTACTGGGAACAGAGAGAGACAAGATAGAATACAACGTTATTATTTATTTGTTATGAAGGTCGGTTATCGGTACATGCTTATCTAAGAGTAAACACACCCGACTCATGCGATAGAAATTTGGCGTGCTGAACGCGTTTGTGGGTCAAGTTTATCAATTTATATATAAGCTTAATACTGATCCATGAATAAGTTCAACGAAAACAACGTCCGGATGCACGAGCTAAAATTAATGTCCACGACGAACGTATAAAATGCTTACAACTGCGACAGTGCGTTTCAACTCTGCGGTAATCAAATAGCTCACAGATTTAAATATCGATTCAACTATTCTTGGAAATCGGCCGTTTTGATTACTTTATTAGCTCGAGTTTCACACGCCGCAGCCATTCCAGTAACCACGCACCAATGAAAAAGACACCGTCATAAATTTGCAAATTAAAATCAAGTTTCTTTATACTGCGGCTTCATCGGCACGTTCGAAAAACTTACTGACTCTGAATAAACGACAAATGAGATTGCGCTCAAAAACCACCGCATCAGGCCGCGTCACTTGACATGAAATATTTAGACATCTGCAATCTAAAAAACTTCGATGCGCGGTGTCACCGTTGACAAGTTGTCATAAATCAGCGCAACCAACAACGAGTTCGTATGGGCAGCAATTCCGACTACACGCATCGATGACGAGGTTATAAATTCGTGAAATGGTAATCATTCTGAAATCTAGCTGCCACCAGCACGTGACTCGGACATGCGGGATGCGCTTGTTCAAACGATCCGGATTAACCGAGAGGCACGTCTAGTGCGTGTGTAGTTTTGTTTTAGTGCGTGGACCTGTTGCTCGCGGGTGATTTATTTGTGCTTCCCCAAACCACACCTTCTGGACCTGTTGTGCTATTAAAAAGTTGTAAATTTGGTATGACGTGTGTGCATTACTTGAATCATCACTGTGAGGTGGTCCGTCCGACTTTTCCTCGGACCTTTTAACCGATTGCACGTTAGTAACTTGTTGGCATTTACACAACAGTAACGGTCTTCCCCATTGATTGACGGTTGGCAAAAGTTTGAGTTAGCTATTTTTAGCCTGCGAATAAAAAAGAGCCAGCAGCAAAATGATGATCGATTGACTATACAGTAGTAGCTCGTTTTTGAGCAGTGAGCATGAAACTTTAAACTGTTGGAAATCAATTTATTGGGATAAAATAAAATTATTATGTAATCATTAGATGTTATAATGATAATTAGTGCTTTTAAGTTACAAGAAGAGGTTGTAAATTTGATTTATTTGACACATTTTACGATTTTACGATTTGTCAGCGCTCACGAATCATAAAATTGATTATTATAACGCTCTGAAAGTGAAATTGACAGGTTTTATCAGTCAAACACATACTTTACAACCTAGTCTTGTAACATACAACTACAGAATATAATTATAACATCTAATGATTTCATAGTTCCGAGAAACAATTGTTTATAGCAAGTGAGTAGAAGCAACCCTGATTGGAACACAAAGTCAAAAATTTACATGATATTTAAAAACTGACAATACTGCACTATGACGAAAGCTCGATAGACAAAAGGTCGAAGGATGAAAGGTCGAAGGGATAAAAGGTCGAATAGACTAAATGTCCAATTGAACTTAGAAGGACAAAAAGTCGAATGGACAAAAAGTCGAATTAAACTTAAAGGAATGAAAGGTTGAAATGGACAAAAGGACGAAACTGACAACAGTTCGAAATGGACAAAAGGTCAAAGTGGTCAAAAGGTCGAAATGGACAAAATTTCAAAAAACCAAAATCAAAATTGACAAAATATTGCTTAGAATATTTTCGCTCTGAGCTTAAAAGATCTAAAAAATACTCCCAAAGAACTAATAAATACTAATAAACTATCCTGCATCAATTTGAGTTAGATCTTTTATGAATTTCAACCTTTTGTCCATTACGGAGATGAACTAGCCCGTGGCTAAATATCTCCTAAATAAAGTATTTAAAAAAAAACTTTTGTCCATTCGATCTTTTGTCCATTCGTTCTTTTTTTCCATTTCGACCTTTTCCCACTTCGAAATTTTGTCCGTTCGACCTTTTGCCCATTCAACTGTTTGAAAATATTGACGTTTTGTCCATTCGACATTTTGTCCATTTGTCATTTTTTTTTTTTTTCATTTGAACGCTCGTCAGTCTCAGAGCACCTAAATTTACATGAACATTTCTAAGTGTGTAGGTTAGGGGTCCATGCATAAATTATTTAGCATATACATATTTGAACAATTTTAGCCTCCCCTTGTAACGTATTGTGATATACCTTATACATGGCCGGTCACAACTTCTGAGACACCCCCCTCCACCCACATTTCCCTTCTCTGTAAGGACTTTTTCGATAATAACAAAATTTGTACATATTAGACCCAATGATATCATATTAGGTTGAACTTGCTTGTCCTTGGTTTGTCAGTATGTGGTTTCTACTTTCGACATCCTTCATTTATTTTTTTTAACTATGGCTCAAGATAAGCCAGAATCGAAATCGAAACCTCACCGTACCACACCACCCATCGGAGAGTCGATTGGAGCAGGCAGGGGGGTGCACGGTGGGGCCGTCATGGCTAAGTTGCTTTTATTTTGGCTCTCCTTTGCGCTCATTTTCGGCGTATCGTACGATAGTTTGTGACGTCACGGATGGCGTGGCGGTTTTCCTCTCTCTCTCATATGTAGGCATACATATGAGCGAGCAAGTATAAGTCAACCCAGTGAGTGAGTTTTGCTACCGTTGTTGTTACCATGCCTTCACGCGCGATCCTCTTCGATCGTACGATGTTGGAATGTATTTTTTGTATTATTTTTCTTATTTTTATTTTTATTTTATATTTATACTTTCGACATTCTTTTTGGCCCTCTCAGTTTGCTCTGCTTCGCACACAGCAATTAGACGCCTGTGTATGATGGCCTGGCCTACTACTCTTCTTCTAGATTTACCATGCAATTCCCGGTATGAGGATATGCAAAAGTCAAAATCCTCTTTGGTTGTTCTACCGACCGAAAACGATATCAGTGTCTGCGCGACTCACAAGCGGAAGGAAAGTTCAAGGTATTCCTCCCAGTTGGGTATGCGTGGTTGACTGACCATTTTGGGTTTTGACACTCTGCGAATTCGTTCGCCTGTGGTTGAGCCGTCGAATGGGGGTTTTGTTTTTTGCTTCACTTCTGCATCAAGGAAATACTTGTCTCCAAATGGTTCCACAAGAATGGCAGCTTTAACTTTGTCAATCCGTATGTGTTTGTGTGGGATGTGGGATGGAAAATTTAAAATGTAAAAAGGGGCAACCTAATCGGATTTATTCTAAGTTGGTTCCTATTCCGCACTACTCTAGCTGCGGTTTTAGCCATACAAATAAACATTTCGACACCTTATGGAGAGCGTGCCAGCAAGCGCTGCTGCTCCATATGTATGCTGTATTCGTCCTTGTGGTGTCAACTATGTCTATACACATTCGCAGCATAGAACCGCATGACGGCTATAAGCTTGCTAATATTTGATCTCTGCTGCTTCCCCTAGTTCAAAGTGGGAAGAAGCAATCAAATTGCTTTTAAAGAAGCAACAGAGCCGATAGCTGCACGCAGCAAAGGCGAACTTTCACCCGACCAACAAGTGGGTGCCAAACCATCACCGGAAACATCGCACGTGAAGCGTCTCGTGGGTTTTATTCCGTGGTCAGCAGATTTTCTTGTAGGTACGGTTAAACCAATTTTCGACCCTCGCATCTGGCTCGAAGGTAGTGAAAAATTTAAGATGATTGATATTCTGCTCCGCAATATAAACTACAAACGAACCAAAATTTGCTAACGTTGACGAAACTGGTCCAAAATCATTTTTCTTTCTTCATTCCTCGTTTTCTGTGCACAATCGACAATAGCACGCTGGCTGTTGTGGTCACGCGTTTGCCAGCGTGGAGCCTTCGGAATGCATCGCATCCTACACCTAGAGATCTAAAGGAACAAAATTGTAACTGCACGAGATCAATCAATTAAACGAGCCGTGGAAAATCGATGTCCAGTGAGAAGGTCGTAAATATGCTTAACACTGAATTGCAAGACGACAAATGCGCTCTGAGTCCCCGCGAACGATCGAACGTTGAATTTGAATATCCAAAAGTTTAGTCATGTTGCGGCTTTTGTGGGGTCATAAATTACGCTAGTTTATAGGATCTAGCAGGCAAAGGGCAAAGGCATGACAATTAAAGTGATGCAACTATGCAAGGCTTGTTGTGACTATCGGAACTGGACGATCGGCCCACGGTAGATTTACGAGCACCGATCTTCTTCGGTAAACTATTAACCTAACGGAGGCCCACCTAATTCCTACATGCCGCTTCCCTTCTGGTCAATTTATCATATTCTCAGCTCGTATTTTATCAACAAATCCAGGCTTGACCTTATCATGCTTCTCTATTTATAAATCGTCAAAAGAAACAGATCAGCTTGATCCTATCTCAAAGATCGCGTTCTCCCACCGACCGACGACGAACGACGGGATAAAAGTTGTTAAGATAACTGCACTCCTTTCTTGCCAGCGCCCATTTCCCTAAACCTAAAGTGGGCGAAAATGACGGTTGATAACGAAGTAGAATTTCTCAATTATTGGGCAACATAACGATCAGATTTGATGCGGTAACAAATTGACTTGGTTTCTGTAATCTCATAAATTCCAATCGATTACCGGTGATAAAAATGATGAGATTAAACTAATTTTATTACTTTCCTCATCCTGCTTTCCAGGTTGAGGTAAGCGTATATCATGTAATCATCGTTTAAAGGTACCAATCCCATAAAATTTTTAGAGTAAATACAGTGATTCAACGAAAAAATTTCGCAACTGCGCTCCGAGCATCTTCATTCCGCTAGAGCAGATAAATTATTGATGTTTGGGAAAAGTACGTGCTCTTAAGCCGCACCAGAAAACATCACAAAAAAAGAGTAGGCATCATTTACATAATGATCTC